AAAATTTACTTAGATAAGTTAGATGTCTTCAAGTCACCAGAGTCCGATGAATTACTTCCTAATAGTAAAGGCGCTGACTTGGGTAGATATCTAAGCCATTAGTGATTATCTTTGAAAAGCTGTGGAATACAGGAGAGTCTCCAGAAGACTGGAAAAGGCCAAATATAAAGAGAAAAATAAGACGACTGATCTGTAATTCCCAGGGTTGTCCTTAACTTCTGTACCCAGAAAGATAATGGAGCAAATAATTAAGTAATAAATTTGCAAACATCTAGAAGCTAACGTGATAAGTAATAGCATGATTTGTCAAGGACAAATATCAAACCAATCTTTATTTGACAAGGTAACAAGGCTAGTGGATAGGAAAGAAGTGGTGGTACGTATGGCATATAGACGTTATTAAGGTTTTTTATACCGTCTTGTATTTGGTAACCTAAATGAAGTTACTGTAAGATGGGCGCAAAAATGGTTGGATAAACATTCCAAAGTAGTTATCAATGGTTCACAAAGAGCCTAATGAGTGGTGTTCCGTGGGTATCAGCTCTGATTCTGTTCAATATCGGTGATTTAGGTAATAGAGTACACCTATACTGTTTGCGAACGATATCAAACTGAGAAGGGTTGCAAGTGCTTTGGCGGATAGGTTTATAATTCAAAATGATGTGGACAAACTGGAAATAGTCTGGGGTATATAGGATGAAATTTACTAAGGACAAATGCAAAATACTCCATTTTGGAAAGAACAATCAGTTTCATACATACAAAATGGGTAATTACTTCTTAGGAAAGAGTACTGCAAAAGGGATCTGTGATCATAGTGGATCACATACTAAAAGAGTTAACAGTGTAACACTGTTGCAAAAAAAGAAAATATTCTGGGATGTATTAGTAGGAATGTTGTAAGATATGAGAAGCAGAGTGAAATAATTTCTCCATGCTGATTAGGCCTCCACTTGAGTATTGTGTCCAGTTCTGAGTGCTACATTTCAGGAAAGATGTGGACAAATTGGGAAAAGTCCAGAGAAGAGCAACAAAAATGATTGAAAATATGGGGAACAGCTTTGAGGATTTCTTTATGATGGAAGAGATGATGAGTAGAAGTCTGGAGAAGAAGTTTTAAGGAAACCATCACCCATGGGCAGGGCTCGCCGAAATGCGCAGATTGCCCGAACCCGGCTCTTCTGGGTTGCAATCTACTCGCCATGGGCGAGTAGGTTGTGTTATATGTCGAGCCCTGCCCATGGGGAAAGATTGAAAGAATTGGGTTTGTTTAGTCTGGAAAAGAGATGACTGAGAGGGGGGACAAAAAGTTTTCAAATACCTAACAGGTTGTTACAAGGAAGAGGAAGAAAAATTATTCTTAACCTCTGATGATAGGACAAGAAGAAATTAGCTTAAATTACATCAAGAGAAGTTTAAGTTAGACTTCAGGAAAAAATTCCTGTCAGGGTGATGAAGCACTGGAATACATTGAATAGGGAAGTTGTGAAAAGAGCAGGTTAGACAAACACCTGTCAGGTCTAGTGCCATGAATGCAGGGAACTGAACTTAACAAACTTTTGAGATCTCTACTGGTCCTATAAATCTAAGATTCTCCTCTGTAGGTACAAGGAACAGCGCTGAGGACTTCTTTGGGGTGGGAAGAGAAGATCAGTAGACGTTTGGGGTAAAAGTTTTAAGCATTTTGTTAGTGACAGGAATCACTGGTGGGAGAGAGGCCTGGAAGTTTGTGGGGAGAGGTATGAGGAAAAGCAGCAATACATTGAAGGGTGTCATGAGAAGGAAGAGAAGCCTTGGAGTGTTCACAGTAGTATTAGGAGAAGCAGACACTTTTTAGAAGTGTGAGAGAAATGTTTAGAGGGAGCACTGCAGACCAGGTCTTAGCAGAGCTTTATTTTCTCTTCCTTTTGTTCCCCACTCTAACTTGTATTAGGACGGTGACCAATTTCAGTGAGCAAGTTTTTAAATATAGATTTTACATTTTTCAATAACAAAATTCTTTATGAGACTCTTAAAAATTGCTTTATTTTTTCCCCACATTTGCAAATGAGAAGAGGATTTAGAAGGCTCCCTATATTTTATTTTTTTAATCTTTGTAATTTTTTTGATGTTTAAATGAAACAGAAAACCCAATCTTTTGTCTTTCAGAAGTGCTTCAGTTACAACTCCTGCTGAGGGGAGAGTTTGCTGCTTACTGATCAGAGTCCTTAAATAGAAAAGGTTCAAAGGAACACAATGCAATACAATAAAGGTTTGAAGTAACATCATTTCCTGTAATCTCAGTTTCATGATTCATCATTTCACATGTTTCTTATTACTTTAGTCTGCACAAGGGAAGAATTCACAGTCACAAAAGTGGATAAAAAAAAACATAAAAAGTCCTACAAATCAAAGCTATTGAACATTACATATACAAATCAACAATTATCTCCTACCTATTACTGGCCTTAAATCTGTTGATAATTACTTTTATTGTGATTTTTCCAATACTGATAAGAGTATAACTCTTTAAATATTTGGCTCAGCAGGTGGGTATTTAAGTTGGACACTACAGTATAAATAAATTATGGTCACATAAACACCACCCTTTATCAGAAACCAACTGACTACTATTTTTTCTTACATGCCTCTAACTTCCATCCAGGACACATCACATGATCCATTGTCTATAGCCAGGCCCTAAGATACAACCATGTCTGCTCCAATCCCTTAGACAGAGTCAAATATCTACAAGATCTTTATCAAGCATTCTTACGACTTAAATACCCAGCGGGGAAGTGAAGAAATAGATTGACAAAGCCAGACAAGTATCCAGAAGTCACCTACTTCAGGACAGGCCCAACAATGAAAATAACACCACCACTGGTTATCACTTACAGCCCTCAGCTAAACCCCCTACAGTGCACCATTGGCAATCTACAAGCTGTACTGGAAAATGATCCTTTGCTCAAATAGACATTGGGAGACAGGCCAGTCCTTGCCTACAGACAGCTCCCCAACCTAAAGCAAATGCTCACCAGCAGCCACATACCACACTACAGAAACAGTCACCCAGGAACCAATTTCTGCAACAAATCTTGTTGCCAACTCTGTCCACAAATCTGTACAAGCGACATCATCACAGGACCCAATCACGTGAGCCACATCAGTAGGGGTTCATCCACTTGCACATCCACTAATGTGATATATGCCGTGTATATTGGCCAAACCAGACAGTCTCTGCGCCAAAGGATAAATGGACATAAATCAGACATCAGGAAAGGTAGCAGACATAAACCTGTAGAGGAACATTTTAACCTCCCTGGACATTGAGGCTACGTCTAGACTGCAAGCTTCTTTAGAAATAAGCTTTTCTGGAAGAGATATTCTGGAAAAGCTTATTTCAAAATAGCGTGTCTTCACACAAAAAGCACAACGAAATAGTGATGTGCTATTTTGAAAGAGAGCATTCACACTGATTGGATGCTATCTTGCATTTAAAGCTTCCTGGAACCAGTTCAGGCAGGGCATTAGGTCAGCAGTTGCTTCAGGGTGCTGGTGCCTAAGGCTGTCTGAGATGTGTGCTTAAAGGGACATGCCCTGGACAACCATTTCTCAGCTTCTGCTTGCTTGCCTACCTCTCTGAGGGACAGCAAAGCATTTGCAGTGTGTGCTTTGGTTGCCCTGCTTCAGGACACCACAGCACTCCTTGCCATGGAGACGGAGCTGCCCCAGGCATGTGATGGCCCCACACTGCCATGCTGCAGTTTCTGTAGCAGTTTGTGTAGGCTGCCTTCCTGGCCCTCCACGAGCTCAACTCCATGCTCATCGTTGAGAACCTATGCATGGGAACAATGCCCTTGCAACCGCACCCCACAGTGGAGAGACGCTTTTGGAGGCTGGACACCAGTCCTGACTGGTCGGGCCGATGGGTGATGGAGTGGTGGGATGATCAGCAGTGACTCCACAACTTCAGGATGAGGAAGGAGACTTTTATGGCGCTGTATGCCTGGCTTGTCCCTGCCCTCTGATGATGCAACACCCATCTGCAGCCCTTCATCCCCCTGGAGAAGTGGGTTGCCATCACTGTCTGGAAGCTTGCCACGCTAGACAGTTACCAGTCTGTGGGCAACCAGTTTGGCATGAGAAAGTCCACCATCGGGGCCCTCCTCGTGGAGGTAAAGCATTCTCGGGCTGCAGTCCCTGGAGGGGGGCAGGGAGTATTGGAAAGAGGGACCCTGGGAAAAGGGTGGGGTTGGAGGTGGGGGGGGGTGGCCTGGGGGTGGGG